GGCATTTAAAGAAAAAAAAATACAATAACTAGAGAACAGAGGAACAAACTTTGTATGGATCAGAGTTCAAAACAAAGCAAATATATTGCATTTAGACTCTAAATGCCCACACATAACATGTGCCAGGTAAGTAGATAAACTTATGTTGTAGTATTTCAAACATTTTACAAAACAGTAACAGACATGAACTTGTTCAGTGTATTATGTCATAAAAAAGAGAAACTGGAATTTGTTTAAGGTTTCAATTAATTTATACACTCAATTTCCAAGTGTAAAGTTAGAAAAAAAGCATAGCTTCCTCAGGTGGGAATCCCAATTTCAAAGGTCTGGTTTTTCTGACTGACATAATCTAATATGGCCAATTACACCTAATGGTAGACATCCAATTAATGTCGCAAGGACAAAGCAGAGAGGCTCAGTCTTCCCTCACTCCAGTCAGTTGGATCACTTCCTCTGAGACAATCCCAAGGCCTGGGACTGATAGTTAGTCTGATCATTAAGGGTATTAATTAGGAAATTCCCCAAATCCCATTCACAATCTGTGGTAAGACTAATGTTCAGTTATATGGAATAAGGTAAAGCTGAGTTTGATCCTATTCCCATATCAGAGGTAAAATGACCAAAGCATAAGAATCCCCTGGCTCTTCATTTCTACTTCACTGTTGTCCCATTTTTTACCCACAGCACAATTCACCATGAAGTTTAAAATCAAAGTGCTCGAACAACTCTGCTTTTTATGTGTTGGTGACTACTAGCTTTGTATCAAAATTAAGCTTGTTTGTATTCATCTTGCAAATTATAGCCACAACTCTGGGGTATAATTAAAATGATAATAAAAACATGGGACAGATACTCTCACTGTACGTAACCCAATACAAACCAAAATCATTCAGAACAATCAACACAAACTGCGGATTTAGTTTGTCTTGAAACTTTTACCATTTTTGTTTTTAAAAGTTCTTCCAAATCAAAGAGATGATTTGGTTACAGTTTCAGTTTTCAGAGCTGTTTGGAAAATGTTTTATTTAAAAATCATCATTGGAAAACTACTTTAACATCAGTATGAGGTTCAAGGTCCAAATTGTCATGTGTCATGATATCAGTTCAGTTCTATCTGCAGCTTTTATGTGCAGCTACAGCTCTTAAACTCATGACACCTGGGTTATGAAGAGTTGATTTAGACATTCACAATGACAACTAAGCAAAACATTACAGGAATATCAGTGTGTGAAGCCTTTCTAGTATTTTCATCTGACCAAGCGTTGCATCACCCCCTCCCTGCATTTGCCAGTTACACGAAGCAATCACTCTTCCAACACAGGAACATAAAGGCCAGGAACTTGCCCACACTTTATTTTTGGGGGGCTCAATGAAGATTCTGAGCGATAAATAATGTACATGTTCAATCTTTTAACAATAAAGCCAAAACCTAATTGCCATAAGAGCGTTTGCAAGATAATGTCACTTGTTTAAGCCCCAGTGTGTGCGTGAGCTGCAGTAAATCCATGACAGACGGAATTAACGTTACCTGTCTCCCAGGAAGCTACTTCATTGCAGCAGGCCTCCACGGTCAAAACAAACACAGTAGCTCTCTTTTGGTATGTTGACGCTAGTGCTTCATCTAACCGGGACAATAGCCACACTATACATGCATTCAAATGAGCGTTTGTTGCATTGAAATAGGTGGAGGCAGCGGTAGGCTAAGATTGGGTTAGCTACAGGTTAGCGGCTAACTAGCGCATCAATTACATTCTAGCACTGGAGCTCAATCAAGAAAACACGAAGACAGAAGTGGCACGTGCTAACGATGGCATTTACCTGTCAAATCACGAATGGGTGTTAAATGTAGCCGTCCCTCAGCCCCCCTCCCTCCTCTGACCGCGGGCAGTGCTCCTCAATTTTCCCACTCTGACGCTGAAGGCAGGTACCTACTCAGTTCCGCTGTGTTTCCCCCCAACAAGACTCAGGACGCTGCCATATTCCTGAGACCAAAAGGCAATAAACTGCGCAGGCGCGAGGCCTGCCCTGTCATGCGGCGGTCAGCTGATTGGTGAGTGCGGAAGTGTTAAGCTGATCTCAGAACAGTTTTCGCTAGGTTTTTATTTGACGTTTGAATGGAGGGACACTACCAAAGCCGACCTTAAAGCGGTTTTTTTGCGATTCTGTCAAAACGCAGGGTTTTTAAAGGGGTAAACCAGAATTTTTATATGGGCCTCTTTTAAAAGATTATGAGATGTTAAAACCGTAGGCGGATTGTAATTGTTACATTTACTTGAGGTCTGATTGTTTAGAAAAAATATCCTTCTGAGTGGTTTTACTTCACCACACTTTAGTACAATTTCTGGCTACTGTACCCAATGCAAGCAACTGAATAACAACGTTTTTTTTTTAAATATACGAGACACAGGAACACACCTATATTAAAGTGAGACTTCTTGTGTTGTACTCGACCTTAATGTAATTTTCAATTTGCTGAATCTATTTGGAGGTCAATTGAAGATCCATAAAATAGCTTATCACTGTAATGCATTACTCTGATTGTACAACTGACACAAATACCTGCTGCAAGTATTGGTGTCATAGGTTTCATTTAGAAAAATAGCGATTTGTAAAAGTATTTTTTGTAATTTTATTATTTTGTAATAGTTATATTTACATTGATTTAAAGATATTAACCACACTTATTTATAAAATAAAATAACTTCAGATATCTATAGTGTAACATGGTGTAGTCAGATTATTCTGTTTGCCATTGTGTTGGAAAAGCATGGTCATAAAAACATGTATCATCCCACAAGGAAGCTTTAATGTGCATTATGATAACATATATTTATTCAGACATTCATTCAGTCATCATGGGCCAACACAAAAACACACAACCACGCACACAGTCTTACATCCCAATTAACCATTAAGAGACAACCGCCTATAAATTTAGGTAAAAAGGTAAAAAAAGAAAGGCTTTATTTCTGTAAGTTTTGCTAGACAATGTGACTATTGTGCCATCTAGCGACAGTTTCCCATCAATGCATACATCTCACAGGCTGCTTCAGAGCACACAGGTTAACCATAGGTATACATTTAAAACAACTGTAAGCATCCAGGTACAATCTATTTATTGTCAACATTCAAATATATTAAACCAAATTTCAAGTGACGTTTACAGTCAAGTATATTTGGAATATAGCATATTTGAAAATCTCAGCTACAATAAATACCATTTAAATTTTTTAAATGATCCACGTATAGATTTATTCCTAGATTTTTAGCAATCGAGACTTCCTAATCACTTTCTAATCATTAATTCTCCTAGTTTTGAAGGTGCATCACTCATTCTACAAGTGGAATTTATTCTAAGTACAGATATTTAATTGTTCTGACCATTTTTATTCTACAGTGCAATTACTGTTTGGCATCTTCCAAATAAAAGTCTTTGTCTTACTGATACTATGCCATCAAAAATAGGTGCAACTATCCCAAGATACGGTCAGAACCTCACAGAAGGCTTAACATCTAATATCACAGAAAAATAAACAGCAAAAATAACTAAGAGCTGATCCTTCTCCTAAAATGTCAGCAACTCACCGCGACTGAAGATATAGAGGAAACATCTTGGCCTCTCTTAATGACTGATCTGATACACTAAAACTCAAGTGGAACAGCACAGAGAGGTCACGTTATAAGGCATCTGCCTGGGTGACAAACCATGTGCTGCCTGTTAGACTAATTCAATTACAGCAAGAGAGGCATGAGGGAAAGAAAATTTTGCTTCTTCTTTCCCCATTTGAATCTCCCCTTAGAGAGAGTGAAGCTCTTTAGGCTTTCGTTAGGATGACAAGACTTTCCCACTCAATTACTGTAAAAACTTGATTTGGCTCAGGTAAAGTCGATGGGGTTTCTGCAGCACAAAGACGGTTATTTTATGTTTCATGCAATCATTAAAATAATCACATTTCTTATATGTAGAGAAATTATATTGCAAAAGTTGTTTGTCATTTAACACAGTGGTCCCCAACGTTGGTCCTCAGGGCCTACTGTCCTACATGTTTTAGGTGTTTCCCCTTCTGCTGCACACCTGGGTTAAATGAATAGGTGATTAACCGACTTCTATAGCAATTGCAAGAATGAAAAGGAGGCAATGCAATCATATAAATCAGCTGTGCTGGAGCCCGGACTCGTTAAAAACATTCAGGATAGTGGTCCTTGAGGACCCAGGTTGAAGACAACTGATTCAACATATGCCCTGCAATGGAAACAGATACAGCCTCAAAGTGAATAAAATTAATTATTGTGTGTCATGGGACTACTACTCCAGTGTAATAGGATTAAAAGACTCACTTTGCTAGTCATTTTTTCCTGCATTACACTGCCATCTACTGGTTTCTACTGTAACCTGCAGCAGCCTTGCTAACCAAGCCAAATAAATAGTAGTGTAAATAAGCAAAAAGATACACAAACGTTACTTTATTTATTTATTTATTTTTAAACAACGCTTAATAAATATTAACAAACTAATGTATTTATCCAACAAATGTATTTAATGTACTAATGTATTTATACAACACAAAATTGCAATAACAGTAATGATCCCCAAAATACGAAAGAGTTTGTGGTTATTATTATTCACAAAAACAACAACAATAGTAATAATAATTAATTCACGAATGTATTTTGGTTAAAAAAATACAGCATTAAAGATATGATATGTAAAAGAAAATAAAAATGAACTGTTTATGCTACATTAGCGATCAGTACAAAAGCAATTGATAATTTACCTAAAAGTTAAATTTATCCCGTTACATATACAATAATACGGAAAGAAATTATTTTACGCTTTATATTGACTTTAGACATGAGAATCCGGAATTTTACATAAAATAATTAATTTTTAGCGAGACTATTTTCTCGTGTTACAACCTGTCCGTGATGGCCATGAACGCACCTCCCGTAACCAAGGTGATGACGCTATATTCCGTTACCAAGCCATTCTCAAGGTAAACACTAGCTCGTTAGCTAGGCTAGCAGATCTCCAGGATAATCTTACAGCTGTGGTATAAAGGAAATTTTGCTCAATTTGTTTACTTAAACAAACATTCAAAAGATTTTACTGGATTTCAAACTCATCATATCGACTCTGGCTTTTAGTCTTCCTTGCGTCCGCTGTCTAAATTAGATAGATTCGGCTTCTTTTCTGTTGGGATCAGCTCAAGCTAACTTAGTTACGTTGCAAAACAGCCATTATGGTAAGTAACTATTGTGAGCTTCGCTGCTAGCCTTCTCTTTCCTTGTAGAAGTGCAGAATGTACCTGTTTTTAAATAAAATGCCATTAGAGTAGAACGCTACAACTAGCATGTAGCTCTATGGAATTACCAGCTCATATGGAAAGGCCCTGTAACATATTGCCAAGAGGAAATCCTCTTCAAGTTAGCTAATAAGCTAATTGGTGTTGCTATTACATCAACCCTCTGTCTTCATATGAACCTTTTCTCCCCCTGATGCACAATTTATTTGCTAATCTGTTTTTTTCTTGTCTCCACAAAGGCTGACTTTGGGTTTAACGAACACCATCAGTCTGAAATCATCAACTACATGCGATTTGCTCGTTCAAAGAGGCTCTTAAGGCTCAAGACTATTGACTCATGTTTTGAGGAACTCAAAGACAGCAGGTGATTAATCATAAACGTCTCCGTCATTGTGATTGTGTACTTTTATTTAGATGTTTATCCACAACCATAGAGAGGACTTGTACTGTACAAAGCAATGGTGTGAAAATATTACCTTGTAATGCATACATATTTAATACCAATTGTATAATCACATGCTGAAGACAAATTCCAATACCATGCAAGTATTCACACTTCCTGATCTTTGTCAGCTGTTGTCACTTTACAACCAAAAAAAGTCATTCATTTAACTGAGCTTTTGTCAGTAAACAAAGCATTGTGAAGATTACAGTACACAGCAGACAAGTCAAAAGAAACCCCAAGCTATTAATTTTTTTTAGCAGCGTTTCCTGACAGATTGAATTATAAAGAGGTCTACTTGTAGCTTTTAAGTTAATATTTCACTTTTTAAAATAAATCAGACTATCAAGAAAATGTTACTCTATTATTCCGTGTTGTCTATTAGCCATGCCTAAAACTAGAAAGAAAAGTAAAAATAGTTTTTCTGTTGCCTTGCAGCAAAAAGAGGTTCAAATCACAGCTTTGAGTATTTCGTTATGGACTTTGGATGCTTCACTCCAACTTCCTCCCACAGTCCAAACATACCAGTTACTGAGAGATTTAAAAAAAAAAAAAATCTAAAGAAGAAAAATTAAAACCGGAAATGTAGTTTAATTGAATCTTTTAGCAGAACTTATGCTCAATTCAACACAGATCTATGTCACCAAACACAAATCAATCTTCTACCATGACTATATCCAAATCCAGAATATTCCTAATTCACTCAATGTATTAAAAATAAGGTTTAGATTTAATAAAAAGCAGTTTGAAATTATGCAAGAACAAAAAAAAAAAGTTTATTGTGGGGGGTAATAGGTGAATGTGGAAAGCTCTGTACATTAATTTTTCTGCCTGATTTTCCATCTCCAGGCTGGTGGAGGACACCTTCACAGTGGACGAGGTTAGGGAGATGCTGGACGGGCTGCAAATGGTGGTCCGGGGGGAGGTGGAGATGGAGCTGATCAACACGGCCCACACTAACGTACTGCTGCTCAGGCAGATTTTCTCTCAGGCGGAGAAGTTTTACCTTCGACTCCAGAGTGATATCTCTGAGCTGGAGAACAGGTGAGCTGACAGCCAGCGACGGGAATACTCACAGTGGCATACAGACAGTCATAGCATGGGAAGATGTTAGCATCCAAAAGTTATAATCATTCTCACTCATTATCATTGCTTTGGTGAACATTTTTAAACTTTCTCATATAAACTCTAAGTTAATAGTAGAGCCTGAAATAGGCAGCCCTTTAAATGTTAGCTGTTATGTTGATCTGTGCTACATTTTACTTCCTCTTCAGTTCTTTTCTGATCCAGATCATGTCATTCACAGGGTAAAAAGGTCAGCAGTCTTTACTGATCTACATGCGTGCAACTCAGGTTTCCATCGTGTCGGTTTCCCTTTAGATCTGCAGTTGGTTGAGCTAAAAACCACAAACTGTCACCGTTTTCCTTGCATTTCAGATTCATTTTTGTAGGTTATAAACTACATATTTCTTTTGGTTTTACCTTGTAAATGAATTTGTTTGCAAAAATAGAAGCTTATGTTTCAGAAATTAATTCTCAGAAGGAATTGCATCTTATTTAAATATGTTATTTTCCACATTTCCACTGCATCATTGTGTCTAGACAAAGGTTATAGATTTGGCCATCGGTGGCGAAATGTTTGGAAACCTCTTCATTAGTTCCTACAAGGAAACATCACTTGGGCTAATTTGTTTTTGAAGTAAATCCTGAAAACTAATATCTAACGTGGACATTTCTGTATTAAAAATGTTTTGAAATAGTAAATTGAACAAATACAATGTAGCAAATTCCCTTTTTGAATGGAATGACTGAAATAAATGTAACCTTTCCATTATTAAGAGGGATGGGCAAGATGCGATAAAGTGTTTGAACAAGTATGAGGAAACAATGTAAAGTTAAACTCCTTCAATCAGAGGCATCTTCGGAATCGCTGTAATATTGACTGCTACAGAATATTCTTCCTACCCACAGTTAGAGGCATCTACAACAACTCTTTAAGAAACTTAGAAAATATGACTTATGACAACATTTAAATTGAATTAAACCTCCCATAAGCCACTCATCTTCAGCGATACTCACTTGAATTAAACACATTACCTAAAACTCTTTCTGTTCATCAAATTTAATACTGATGGCCTGTTTGATCTGACTATGAGGTTCAAACTTCCATCCATCCATCATCCATCATCCATCCATCCATCCATCCATCCATCCATCCATCCATCCATCCATCCATCCATCCATCCATCCATCCATCCATCCATCCATCCATCCATCCATACGTTTTTTGATCACCCTTCTCCCTAACGGGGTCGGGAGGTGCTGGTGCTTATCTCCAGCTGCGTTCCAGGCGAGAGGCGGGTTACACCCTGGACAGGTCGCCAGTCTGTTGCAGGGCAACACAGAGACAAACAGGACAATGCACACACACACACACACCCACGGAGAATTTGGAAAGACCAATTAACCTGGCAGTCATGTTTTTGGACTGTGGGAGGAAGCCGGGGAACCCGGAGAGAACCCACGCACGCACAGGGATAACATGCAAACTCCGTGCAGAAAGACCCCTGCCGGGAATCGAACCCAGGATCTTCTTGCTGCAAGGCAACAGTGCTACTGTGCTACTGTACTACCAGTACTACCAACTGCGCCACTGTGCAGCCCAGGTTCACACTTATTGAACTTAATATAACTTTTGCCCTCTTGACCTTTCACCTTATAAAACACAGTGTTTTGATGAAGATACTTTGTTTATAGGCACATCATGGGTGGATGAGCAACTCATGAACCCTTTTGGTTTTCCTCTCCCAGCTACAGCTGTACGTGACTGAATAGGTGTCTAACGCTAAGAAAACGCCCCTTGTGATAGGGCTAGGTGTCTTCAAATGCTTTTTAAAAACCACATACAAGCTTTGTAGAGAACAGTGTTGCTCACCACAAACATGTGTCTTTACAACATAAATGCTAAACTGCCATCCGGACCAAGGGAGTTCACTTTTCCTTTGCCAAACATTCACGACCGCCAAATAGTAGATTATGGGGTTAGCACAGATGAACATCAACACAGAGCTTACGCAACTGTTGTGAAATGAATGTCTTATCAGTGCTTCAGTGTTGCTCGCAGATTGTGGTAGGTTGCAGAATCAGTTTACACTTCTTAAGCATGCAAGCTTTTGTTTATCCACTTAATTTGAACATTTAATATCTTTTTTCTCTCGCCCTTTTAGGGAGCTGTTAGAGCAAGTGGCTGAATTTGAGAAGACTGACTTTAAAATAGCCAATAAGGTTTGCAAAACACTTTCTTCTTCAGATATCTGGCGAAATTCACCTTTTCTTAGGTTACCTGCCCCCACATTTTAAGAGGTTTTAAATGTCAGGCTGCCTGGCCTATATTTGTAGAAGTGTGGTTCAGAAGTCACGCGTCACTGAGGTTCACCTGTGGTTTTATGCTACAATGTTTTACATGAATAAATAAATGTTGCAGTGCCTGCAATGCTTTTGCATGACTATGAATATAGTCATGCATTCATGCAATGCTTTCGCATGACTGTATGAATTTGTAATTCATTTCTAGATAAATCAGGAAACAAGTAAACCCAAGTTGGCACCACTGAATGAGGGTGGAGTGTCTGAGCTTCTTAAAAAGGTAAAATTTGTTTTTGTGTTCACTGCCAGCCATCCAAAAGTTATCATAGCCATAATGATGGTTATGAAGTTACGGTTTCAGTCTGGTGATTTTTAACATGTAACATTTGTGTTATTGTTGGCTAGAAAGTAGGACCTTAGCTAAACGTTTAACACAACATTTCTGATAACAAGAGTGGTCAGATCATCAAATGGATCATTCATAGTCCAACATTAATGAGATCTATACCCGTGATGAGCATTTGTTGTCCTCTGCTCAGACCGACAAATTTATTTTTATCCTTTTTTAGGAGATAACGAAACTACAAGAAGAGAATGATAAACTGAAATCCAGGCTGCGGACTTTAGAATCACAGGTAAAAAAGAGGTCTTTTAAACTTAGTCCTTTATCTTTCTTAGTTAGCTAGTTGATAATATTCTTTGCACGTGATTCGTTTCATCAGGCCATGAGTGCACTGGACGAGAAAACAAAAGCAGAGAGAGCTCTGAAGGATCTCCAGAGGACACAAGGAGAGCAAAAGGTATTGCATTTAAAAAAAACTTTTCATTACTGCTTTCCATTTTCTTTATTTTATCTTTACTATTTATTTTTGATTTTTGTCATCTGCTTGCTCACCACCATTTGCTATTATCTGCATGGTATGTATGAACCTGGATGAACTCCATAGATGCTGTTTTGCTGTGTTATGGCAGTAATTACCGGATAGGGCCATAACTGAATTTCTTCTATGCTTCAGCTTTTTGCTCAAACAAAGGAAATCAACAGCCTGGAGGACACAGTAGCAGCTCTGAAGGAGGACTATGAAAGATCGCTTAGTGCCAACGCTGCATCTCAAAAGGATTTGAAGGAGACTCTAATCACTGCCAAGCATGACCTTCTGCGAGTGCAGGAGCAGCTGGCCTTGGCAGAGAAGGTACCTGCTGTAGAGCCTTTCTCTTTCTGATAAATTAATGCAACTAGCGCTAATGAAGTTGGACTCCATGGACTCACCTTTTGATCCACACAGATAATTTTGATTCAGTCTGTGAGAGCATCATAATCACAGATGAGACACAAGTAGAAGTCGCTCTTAAAAATCTTCACATTTCGACACTATTTGTAGAGAATGTTTCATAAAGAGAGCTGTGACACAAAGTGCTGTAGAAATTTAATTTAACAGAACTCTGTTCAATCTGTTAAACAGGCTTAGCAAGGAAAGCATTAATCAAAGATGGATTCAGGAGCTCCATGGTAGCTCATGGTAAAAACTTGATCACAAAATGGCTACTAGTCATGCATCAGCAATAAAATTCTGTTTTCATATGCTATGTGGAAGAAACTGGTCTAATCAAATTGATTTTATTGACCTACATAAAAAAATTTCCATGTGGTGGAAAGCTTATTCTAACAGGATTAAGCATAGTGGTGGTAGCTTCATGTTGTGAGGGTGCAGTTTTTTTCCCAGTATATATTTGGAAGATGGTCAGAGTGATGAGAAGAGATGGATGGAGCTAAACTTCGAGCCAGAACTTCAGTAGAAGAGATTAAATCCAAGTATATTATGGGTTAGAATGGCCCCGTTAAAACCCAGCCTTAGGTACGACATCAGCTTTCTAGTCGGTGGGAAAGACTAGAAAACTGATATTCACAAACACTCTACAAGAAATCTACTTGAGCTATTTTGGAATAATTTCAGCTTATTCAAACTGGTAAAGGGGTGGTTCTACAAAGTATTTACTCGGTGTGGCTAAAAACAAACACACCCGAACACTTATAAAAATATACACCCCCAGTTGGTCGTGGTAGATGATGGCTGCTAACACTGAACCTGGTTTCTTCCTGTTAAAAGGAAGCTTTTCCTCTCCACTGTTGCTACATGCGTGCTCAGATTGAGGTAATGCTATAAGGTCAAATCTGTTGGTGGTTCCCTAAATAGAAATGTTTTAAACTAATTTGAATAATAAACTGAGTTTAATACACTGTTTGATAACTTGGATCAGTTGTAATGTATTTATATGCATACAAATAAGCTGAATTGAATCTGAACTTTAAAAACATTCTCCATTTTCCTTTTACTTCAAAATTATGCACTACTTTCTATTGATGTATCATATAAAAAGAACGAAGTTTGTGTTTTTAACACAACAAAATCTAAAAAACAAAGAGTTTATGAGCTATTAATACATTTTTGAGATCCTGTATTTTGAATGGGTATTCTAATACTCTAAGCCTTCCTCTTTTTGACACTATTTGTTTGGAGGAAGCAAGACTTTTTCCATGATCACTAACATCATAAGATCAGACAGCTGACTTATCTCAAGGAGTTTTGTGTTTTTCCCTTTTCCCTTCGGTGTTTTTGTGCTTGCGAAAAGCGTGCAAAACATCGTGCAAATAAGTTATTTTCTCCTGCACTTCCCCCTGAACTGTTTAGATCACATTTAAAGTTCAGACTTAGTGGGATTTCTGACTTGTAGTGCTATTGTTATTTTTTCCCCCTTAATGTTTTGGTATTTGTGGATTGTGTGTAGGAGTTGGAGAAGAAGTTCCAACAAACTGCAGCGTACCGCAACATGAAAGAGATTCTAACCAAGAAGAACGAGCAGATAAAAGAAATTAGGAAACGATTGCAGAAGTGAGTTTTCACATTTACATTGATATTCTAAAAATAACACAGTCCTCGGTTACTATGATGCATCTTTGATTTCGTTTATTATTTATGGTCAGTTTTGTTTACCATCCTGTGTTTTGCTTTCTGTTCTAGATACGAGCCAGACGACTGAGGTTTTGCATGTTTTCATTGGAAAGACGAACCAAAATGTTTCTGACTGATTTGGGACGAGAAACTACCAGTTCTGGTGTTTTTTATTTTCATTTCTGCTTTATCTGACATTCTCTGTCCCTGTTAGCTTCATTAAACAGCAGGTCAGCTGGGGAAACCCGTAGGTGAATACACAGAGGATCTGATGACGTGTGTTTTTCTTACAGTAGCTGGCAGATTTCCCTCTGTGCTCTATGCAATAAGCAGCATTTACCTGTTGGACGGGGCCTTGTCCTTTTGCTCACCTGGACAGAACTATACTGCCTGCCTGAAGCTTGTAGTCTTAGTGTGCCTTGCAAAACTATCAAAAGCTCTTGAAATGTTCACATTTTATCAACATGTTTTGTTGGGATTTTATTTGCTAAATCAACACAGCAACAGTTATCTCAGTCAAATTTAGGTCTGTGCTTTGACTATTCCGCTTTATTGTATTCAATTGTGTAGGGTATGTGTAGCAGTGTGTGTAGGGTCATCCCGGACCCCAACAAAGTCTCTCACACCCACCGCCTTCAACCCTATGTATTTTGCTGGCTATAAGAGGTTGTCTTCGAGTATTACTCCATGTATTATCTGCAGCCATTTCAACAAAAAAAAAAACAAAACTGGAATGTTATTTTATATTCCAGATTTGCTCCAAACCTCTCCAAAGTTTGTCCCTGACTTGTCTGCTGCATCTTCATGATGCTGATTTTTCACCAACATACTAATTGACATCTGAGGCCTTCTAAGAACAACTGGATTTATGAGATAAGAATACACACAAGTGGATTTTATTTACTACCTGGTTGTACTAGAGTTTTCAGAGGGGTCTCAAAACAAAAGCAAGCCACACCTTTTAGATTATTTTTGGAAACAATTTTAGAGCCACGTTTTTCTTTCATAGCACAACTTGTGTCATTTTATCTCATAAAATACACAATGCATAAGGAGTATAAATAGATTTGCAAGGCACTGCATAAGTCCCAATGCAGGACATTGTAAGTAAATTTTCATATTTTGCTCATCAGTCTTATCTTTAGCAGCACCTTAAAGTCCAAGGTCCAATTTTAAAACAAAGTTACAAGTAAATGCCAAACCACTTTGCATTTTAGGACACTCTTGTTTATCTGAACATTTAATAATATTAATATTTCACTCTAAAATATTTCCAATAATCTGTAACGACAATGTATCTACTCTTACGTGTAGATGTAGAGGGCCTAGAATATTTTTGGTGTTGAATCCTTGCATATTTTTTGTATTGCTGTATATACATGATTTTCATGATATAAAATGCTCTTGTAGAGTGTGCATTTAACTGGTTTGTGAAATTTTAATGGGTTAATAAAAAGTGTGACCAAATATGTGCTATTTTTTTGTTTTAAATTTAGTACTTTAAAAAAGAGTAGAGGAGAAAGAATACAGTGAAAATAATTTGGATTCAACAAGAGGGCGCCAAATTTCAAAAATCCCGAGAGCATGGAAACATTTTTATTGCACCATGACTACCATTTTGATTGATATCAAACACTATGTGAATGGGTTTTTTAAAAATGTTTTTATCTTCATGCTGCAGCCACCACTGAGTATAGTAGTCCAAAACATTATTTCACAATAAAGCTCTGATTGCACTGTGATTAAACTGAAGAGCAGAACGTATGCTTTTTATTGTCACATCTTATCAGATCTAATTAGTAAATAAGTAGCTATTACAGGATGAAGCAATTCCTCTATTCTTGAAATAAACTTTGAGGAAACTACAGCAGATGATATCAGACCTAAGTAAGACAAGTTTCAACCTTAACACCCTAATTTACACCTGCGCCTTATTTGCCACCTCTTACTTCCCGAGAAAACATTGTAACATATAAGCCATGAGAACTGAGAAAGTGACAAAATGAAATGCAAAGTGGTCAATAGCTAGTCAACTGTCATCTCCTCACGGTTTATACTGAAACTAAAAAAGCCACAATGACTTCAGCTAAACTGGTGTTAGTTTTGCATCAAGTGGAGGAGTTGCATGCTTGATGTAGAGCCTTTCACAAATATTCCTACTAACTGAGCAATGTAGAACAAACAACATTTTATGGCTTTTTTACTGGGATTTTGTGCGATTAGTCGACATGAATTAGTGCAGAATTGTTATTTGGAAGAAAGTAAGTTTATTTTTCATGCATTGCATTCAGATCCCTGCAGTGGAACATGGCGGTAGCAGCAGTGCTTTTCTTCAGCACGGACATTGAATGGATGGCAAACTTAAAAACATTAAAACGCTGCTTTAGATGTTTTTTTTTTAATCTAATGGCTAAATTTGAGCTCTTTTACAAAGAGGAATGTGTAAAACTCTCCACTTGGTCAAAATATATCCTCACATTACAATTGCGCTGAAAGGCAATTTAGCCTAAATACCAGAATCAACTGTGTGTGCATAAAAAGAAATCTGTTTAGTTTCACAAGTTTACATCACACAAACATTAAATAGAAACATATAAACTTTATATTAATATCTACACCAAGCATTTATTTTTGTTAAAATAGTGAAAATAAGTTTATTTTGTTTTACAGGAGAGTAGCCTGCATGCAAGGTGTTGGTTGTGGTCATCAGAGAGAGAGCCTGAGGGAACAAACTTTGTCTGTGGCGGCTGGTTTATGCAAATAGCACAGAAGTTTGTTGTTGTAAAGCAAAACTTGAAAAAGTCTGAGGCGTGTAAAAAGTTTTTGAAGAAAGAGGTGCAGGAAACAAAATTATTAACAAAAACAGCTTTATCCCACATATTTGTCTATCTGTGGGAACAAAGGGCCTAAAATTTAGAACGAGTGCTTGCATGTGTGTAAGCAGCTGAACCAAGTGGGGGGAAACTGATGATAATTTCAGATAGGATGCCACAGCCGAGCAGTTACAATCTTCTTGCACGAAATAAATCACAGCGAGCAGATACAGGAAGTGGTAGCAGCCTTCTCTTGTTCTGCTGAAAGCTGTGACAGTAACAGTACTTTCCCATAATATGGGACAGCAGTTAATAAATTCAAGAGTTACGCACTCAATTCAGAGCAGCTTTCTGCTTTCTGACTTGGCATCAAAGGGGTTTTCTCAGTTTCGGTAGCAGAGTAGAAACGTCTGTTGTTTGGTGTTTCAACAGAATCACAAAGTGCATGTTCGCTTGCTAGGATTTCAGCAGAATTTCACAGTGAGGGGAGAGACACAGTGGAATTTCTTCTTTGATTTCAGGTAAGAAAATAAAAACAGAGAGCAAAAATGTGTTTTACTTTTACTTTTTGTATGGAACCAAATGAACACCCCTGATGAGCAGAGCTTACTCATCTCAAGTGCATGTTTGTTAGCATGGCCTGCTTTTTAAGGTGCTTAGTTCAGAAATCACTCAAAGCTGCAAAAACAGAAATAGAAAAGATGATCAAATTGTTTCATAAGTAAAATCAATTGGAAAGCATGTCTGAATTGAAATGAGTCCCGAGAACCAAATTAGTTTCTACTAAGTAGTTCCTTACTTGTCTTTTGTTTTCATCTTCATCTTTTTGACCGTGCATCCTACTGACAGAAAACACCAATCATCTATTTTTTAAAAGATTTAAGAGCAAAAGGTGCTTGGTATAAAAAAACAAAAACAAAACAGCAGACTAGAATAACTGTTTCTGAGTCTGGTTTTGACTCCTTCATAGAATTCATGTTTTGTTTTAACCTTTATCATGAGTAATTTTTATTCTAAGTAGCAAAGATGTCAGCAACAAAGCTATGATTTGAAACTGTAAAGCTATGATTTGAAACTCAGTTATGCTGAGTTTCAAATTCAAGTTGCCATTCCCTGTACAGATAGTTTCTTTTGTTTGAGTACTTCAAGTTCATCCTACTGTCTAGAAGCATTAACTCCCCCCTTATTCTAGAGCTGCAAAATGAAGCACAAAACAGCTGCTCCCAGGAATCGCCTCATTAGTAAATATAGGCCACATATAGCCTCTGTAAACCCTCTTTGTGACACTTGTGTAGGAAATTCCACTGGCTTCACAAGAGCTTGTAAGTATTGAAAAGCAGAGTTTGATCCTAAATATACAGACCAGGTATTTGTACCAAGATGACAACGTTCAGAAATTCAGTGGGATTGAAAACAATCCACAACAGGGCAACATCTAGACATGAAAAGCTACTGAAGTTATAATCCCTTTCATTCAGTAATAGACACCATGCAACTTAGGCCTTCTGCTATGACATACAGCAGTCTGCTTCATCAAATCCTTCCGCTTTCACTGGAATACACTGATGACTAATATTTGCGTCTCAAATTATTGTCACCTCTTAGAATTCTCACACCCTGGTTTATCAGAGTGGTGTCAACATTTGTTTTTTTCCATGTCCCCTGACATCAAAACCACTCTAAATGCTGCAACTGACAGTTGACAGAGATGTAGTAAAAACCCTACAAACACAACAAAAAGCAGAAAAATACTGAAATACCTTCAGTATTTGCTGACTGATTTGCAAGCCTGCCACTTTGACCTACTGCAATCATTAGATCCCTTTTGGAAAGTCTAGCAGATATAATCTTGGTTGCTCTTTTTAACCAGTTGTAATGGTTCATGTTTCATCAGAAATATGAAGTTAGTGAAATGAGTTTCATGCCATAGAACGTAATGTCAGAGATTATTTAGATGCTTATTGTAGGCAGGAGTCTAAGACCAAATCATTTAGCTTTTATTTTACAACGAATTGAGTCAGTTTAAAATCACAGTGGGAAACTTTGTAAACTTTTTTTCAATGTGCCCAAGGAAAACGTTTGTCATTTTTTATAAGGCACTTTAAAAGTTAATTTGCAGAACATAGTGGTCACTGTTCTCATAAAGGGACAGACATAGTCAACAACAATACTTATGATGTGGCATTTAAATTATACTTAGCTGAAACTAAGGGGCCCAAAATAAATTAAATAGCTCCCCACATCATTACGCCACCATTACCATTTACCAGAACCAATGGTAAGTGGATTCAGAATTCAGGTTGGTTTCTGACCCTACCATCTGAATATGGTCGTTGAAATTGAAGGTCAAGGACTTGAAAGCCACAATTTTCCAGTTTTGGTGAGCGGGTGTAAACAGCAGCCACAGCTTCCTGTTCTTAGCTGCCATGAGTGGCACCAGAGTGGTCTTCACTGCTCATCTGAGAGCCAGTCAGCTTCAGGGTTCAACAAGGACACTCAGACATGGTGTTTTGCTTGCCACTGGTTACTACTAGGTTGCAACTAGTGGTTGTTTGCCTTTCCCTGATCTTGAAACAGTCTGCCAATTTTTCCATGTCCTCTGACATGAGGCAGGCATTTTGACCAAACAAATGTATCTGAAAATCCCAATTCTGATGAACTCTCTGAACTTCAGCTTGCCCTGTTGTCCATACATCCAGTTATCACAACTAAAAACTAGCGATCAGGCCTGAAACCTGGGAGTAGTGATGGACTTTGACCTGAACCTTCAGAGCCACATAAAGACAGTTACAAAGTCGGCCTTCTATCACCTGAAGAACATCTCCAGGATTAGAGGACTAATGTCTCAGCCAGATCTAGAGAAACTCATCCATGCGTTTATCTTCAGTCGCATTGATTACTGCAACAGCATCTTCACAGGCCTGTCCAACAAATCAATCAAACAGCTGCAGTTGTTCCAGAACGCTGCTGCTCGCGTTCTCACTAAAACCAGGAAGATAGACCATATAACACCAGTCTTAAAGTCCCTCCACTGGCTCCCTGTAGCTCAAAGAATAGACTTTAAAATACTTTTTTATTAGTTTATAAATCACTGAACAGCTTAGCACCACAATACATTAAAGATCTGCTGTTGTTGTATCAACCTTCCAGACCTCTCAGGTCTTCTGGTTCTGGTCTGCTCTGCATCCCCAGAACCAGGACTAAACGAGGAGAAGCAGCTTTCAGCATCTATGCACAACAAATTTGGAACAAACTTCCAGAAAATTGTAAAACAGCGGAAATCCTGACTTCCTTTAAATCTCGACTAAAACCCCGCCTGTTTAGAATTGTATTTGAAATGTAATCAAATAAAAAATTTAATGATGGAACTTGACTTAATGTCATGATCTGATTCTATGTTGCATGACTTTGTGTGTTTGTGTTTGTTATGATGTAGAGCACTTTGAAATGCCATGCTGCTGAAATGTGCTATACAAATAAAGTTTGATTGATTGATTGATCCATACCCGTTGACTCTATCAGGAAGAACTTTAGTGTTTGTTCCAGGCAGCAGCAGTTTCCAAGAAATTTTGTGAGCCTCTTCAACCTTGTGATTGATGATCTGGACCTTAAATCAAACTCTCTTTACATTGGATGATGAAAAGCTGATTTAAC